CCGAAGTCGTCCGTGTCCGGGAACACGTCCTCCTGCAGCGGCAGGAACACGCCAGCAGAATCCACCAGATACAGCAGCGGCAGACGCGCCATCTCCGCGATCATCTGCGCCCGGATGATCTTCTTGCACGTCATCGGGAAGAACGCGCCCGCCTTCACCGTCGCGTCGTTCGCGATGATCATGCACGCCCGCCCCTCGACGGCGCCCACGCCCGTCACCACGCCCGCCCCCGGCGCGCCCCCGTGCTCCGCGTACATCCCGTGCGCCGACCAGAGCCCGAGCTCGACGAAACCGTCCATCGAGTCCACGAGACGCTCGATCCGCTCCCGAGCCGTCAGCCGGCCCTTCTCGTGCTGCCGGTCGGCCGCCTTCGACCCGCCGCCCAGCATGATCTCCCGTTCCGTCTGCCGGAACTCCTCGTTCATCGCGCGGAGCGGATTGATCGCCGTGCTCTCAGCCATGGATTCCCCTGCCTTTTCGCTTATCGGAACGCCGCGCAACACACCGCGCGCCCTTCATCACAAGGCCGCAGTGTAGCGGATGCCCCCGAATCGCCACCCGCCCTCCCCGAGCCCGCACAGACCCACCGCGCGGGGCGCGAATCTCACGCGACCGCTTGGACCCCGCCACGCCCAATCGGACAGTGCAGGTGCACAGGGCATCCGCCCGCACACCAACACCCACCAGGGGAGCACCGACCATGACGAAGACCCGAACCATCACCGCTGTCGCCATCACCGCCGCCGCCGCGTCCGCCGCCGGCGCCGCCATGACCCCCGCCCAGCCCTTCACCCTCGACCAGGACGCCGCCGTCGCCGTCCAGTTCGTCTCCCAGTCCGCCGGCGCCCGAGGAAGCCTCTATTTCATGGGCCACGAGCAGGACGGCGAGATGTTCAACGCCGTCTCCTCCGACGCCAACGAGCTCGGCGCGTTCATCTTCCAGAACCACGGCACCGCCGCCGGAACCACCGTCGAGCTCGGCGAATTCGAAGCCGGGTCGACCCTCCACTTCGCCTACCTCGTCACCAACGGCTCCGGCGGCGCGCCCACCGGCTCGCTCTTCCGCACGGACGTCGAAGCCGACACCAACTACTTCGCCATCGGCGACACACGCAGCGACGAGGCCTCCCTCTTCACCCGCCTCGGCATCGAGGACATCCGCAACCCGGCGCACTCGGACTTCGACTACAACGACCTCATCGTCGACGTCCGCACCACCGCCATCCCCGCGCCCGGCTCCCTCGCCCTCGCCCTCACCGGCCTCGCCATGATCGCCCGCCGCCGCAAGTAACAACCGCGACAGGCATGGAGCGGATCTCACGTGATGCGGCGGAGCCGCCTCCACGGAGCAACCGCGACAGGCACGGAACGGATCCGCCGGATCGTCCCTGAACACAGGCACGCCCGCACGGGTCCTGGCGTCCCCCGCACCACCCCGATCACCCTCCCACGAGACTCCCACCGAAAGCCGGGCGACCGCACGCCCGGCTTTCGCGCGCGCACATCGCGGCAACAACCGCGAGCGGAAGCGAGCCGGACCAAAGATCGAACTCCAAGCAGCAGCGTTCCGCATGCTGAACAGCCCCGTGTCCTCTCGCGGGAAAAGTGACCGACGAAGCCGGACGAGCAAGGAGGCCGCAACACGCCCGCCACGCGTCGCCGAGCGTCACGCCCCGCACCTCGATATCCATGCACAAACTTCCGCACCGAATTCCCTGAATCCGGCCCGACCGCGTGCCCGAAACGCTTGCCTGTACACACCCGTTCGGGCACCACATTTTCCAGACACAACCAAGAACCCCTCACCCCAAGGAGATCGCCATGAAGACGATCATCACCGGCGCTATCGCCTCGTCCGTTCTCATCACCGCCCCCGCCCTCGCCCAGTGCGGCGGGAGTGATTACGCCCACAAGTCCAACGCGACCGTCTCCACCGTCGCCAACGCGTCGCAGGGCAAAGACATCGTCGACACCGCCGTCGCCGCGGGCAGCTTCAACACCCTCGCCGCCGCGCTCAAGGCCGCCGGCCTCGTCGACGCCCTCAAGGGCGATGGCCCCTTCACCGTCTTCGCCCCGACCGACGACGCGTTCGCCAAGCTCCCCGCCGGCACCGTCGAGTCCCTCCTCAAGCCGGAGAACAAGGACCAGCTCGTCAGCATCCTCACCTACCACGTCGTCCCCGCCAACGTCATGGCCAAGGACGTCGTCAAGCTGAACACCGCGACCACCCTCAACGGCCAGCGCGCCGACATCGAGGTCCGCAACGGCAACGTCTTCGTCGACAACGCGCAGGTCATCAAGACCGACATCGCCGCGAGCAACGGCACCATCCACGTCATCGACTCCGTGATCCTTCCCGAGTCGAGCAACGTCGTTGAGACCGCGCAGTCCGCCGGCACGTTCAACACCCTCATCGCCGCCGCCAAGGCCGCCGGCCTCGCGGACTTCCTCATGAACGAGGGCCCGATCACCGTCTTCGCGCCCACCGACGAGGCGTTCGCCAAGCTCCCCACCGGCACCGTCGAGTCCCTTCTCAAGCCGGAGAACAAGGGCAAGCTCGCCGACATCCTCAAGTACCACGTCGTGAACGGTCGCGTCTACGCCGACCAGGCCGTCAAGGCCGGCTCCGCCGCCACACTCCTGGGCAAGGACGTCACCATCTCGACGAAGGGCGGCGCCAAGGTCAACAACGCCAACCTCGTCGCCACAGACATCGAGGCGTCCAACGGCGTCATCCACGTCGTCGACTCCGTCCTCCTCCCGTCCTGATCGATCGGGGAAACCCGATCGCGCACGAGGATCGCCATGACCGCTCTCCCGCTTGCTCAGGCCCCGCTCACCCGCGTACTATCCAGCTCAAGACCAAAGGAGCTGAAACGGATCGTGAGCCAGACACTCCTCCAGCAAGTCGCGAGCGGAAACGAACAGGCGATGCGTCAGTGCATCGATACGCACGGCGGGCTGGTCTGGTCACTGGCCCGCCGATTCCTCTCTTCCCGGGCGGACGCCGAAGACGCCGTCCAGGACATCTTCGCCGACGTCTGGCGCTCTTCCAAACGCTACAACCCGGACGTCGCCTCAGAAACAACCTTCATCGCCATGATCGCCAGAAGGCGGCTCATCGACCGCGTCCGCAGAAAAACCGCGAGACCCGCCGAAACAGCCGTCCCCGAAGAGATCGTCAACGACCAACGGGTCGACAATTCACGAATCCGCGAAGACTACGAAGACGAAGACGTCGCCAGAGCCGCGAGAGCACTCAAACAGCTCTCCGTCGACCAGCAACGCGTCATCCGACTCAGCATCCTCGAGGGCAAGTCCCACGACCAGATTTCCAGGGCCACCGGCATGCCACTCGGCACCGTCAAAACTCACGCCAGAAGAGGCATGATCAAACTCCGTGAGCTCATGTCGGACTCAGCGCACGGCGCAACAACGGGGGCGTCCTCATGACCCACATCAACCCCAACATCGACGACGGCGACCGCCTCCTCGACCTGCTCGCCGACGAGCAGACCATCGGCCTCTCCGCCGACGACCGCATCGAACTCGAAGACCTCATCTCCGGCGCCACCATGGCCGACCGCGAACGCGAGGCCTTCGAGCACGCCGCCGCGAGCGCCGCCATCGCCCTGGCCGACGGAGCCCACGACGAAGAACTCCCCGCCGACCTCCGCGACAGGCTCTACGCCTCGATCGGCAAGCCCGCCGCCCAGCCCGCCCCGCCCGCCATCGCCCTCGAGCCCAAGCCCACCGAGCACGAAGCCGAGCTCGCCATCCGACGCAATATCGCCTTCCACTACGCCGGCTGGTTCGCCGCCGCCGCCTGCTTCATCATCGCCGTCGTCGCCTCCTGGCCCGCCCCGAGCGGCGCCGACGCCGTCCTCGAACAGAAGATCGCCGCCGTCGAAGCCGCGCCGGACACCGTCACCCTCACCTGGGCCGACTGGAACAACCCCGACCTCGGCGGCGACGCCGAGATCCAGGGCGTCACCGGCAAGGCCGTCTGGTCCGACCAGGCCAACACCGGCTACATGGTCTTCAACGGCCTCCCCAAACTCGACGACGCCGTGTACCAGCTCTGGATCATCGACGCCGAACGCGGCATGGCCCAGCGCATCTCCGGCGGCGTCTTCAACGGCGCCGGCGACGACGGCGAACTCCGCGTCGCCATCGCCGACACGCCCATCCCCGTCACCAGCGCCGCCGCCTTCGCCATCACCATCGAAGAGCCCGGCGGCACGTGGGTCAGCGACATGACGCGCCGCGTCGTCATCGCCGCACGAGGCTGATCGCAACCGCGACAGTCATGGAGCGGACACGCTGAAGCGCCCTCCGCCAAGAGCCGCTCCCGCGCCGTCCGCTGCGTGACCCGCAGCTGATAGCAACCGCGACTGGGAAGGAGCGGACACGCTGAACCACCCGGAGTCCGCGCTCAAGACCGCTGAATCAAGGCGGTCCCCGCCAACGCTTGCGCCCAATCAACCGCCGCGCAGCGGCGCTCCTTCAAAGCCTCCCCGCAGGCATGGCCCAGCCCCCCTCCGCGCATCCCCCCTGCCTTTCCGCTTCACACGTCCCCCCATCACAAAATCAGGACACCACCCCCCGCGCCCCCTCCAGTACAGTCCACCCATGAGCACCGCGAAGCCCATCTTCACGTTCTGGCGCGTCATGGCCCTCCTCGTCCTCCTCGCCATCGCCGGCCTCGCCGCCCTCGTCATCACCTCCGCGATGGCCCGGCCCACGATCTCCGTCGATTACACCGAAGAACTGGAATCCATCGCGCGCGAATACCAGCCCGAGCACGCCTCAGAGCCCAACCGACGCGACGATTTCATCGCCACCATCCTCGACATGAATCGCATCAGCAGCGCACGCTTCCCCGGCGAATCGATCGATGTGCAGGCCCTGCTCGAGCCCGAACCCGAACGCCGGACTTCAACCCCGCTCAGGGACGAGCCCACATGGGAGCAGGAGCGTCAACGCGCCGAAGAATTCCTCAATGCGCTCGACGAAGAAGGCTTCTTCGACCGCGCCCAATCGCTGAGCGGCATCCGCCACGCCGTCAACGAGATCCCCCAAGGCATGAGCGTCATCGAAGCCTCGTTCAGCGAACACTTCAACATGCTCGAACACCTCGGACCCATGCGACAACTCACGCGCGTCCTGAGCATCCAGGCCGTGCGCGACGCCCGCGCGGGCCGAACCGACGACGCCCTCGCCAACATCGAATCCGCGTTCGCGACCGCGCGCCTCGCCTCGACCGAACCCTTCCTCATCTCGGGGCTCGTCGGCGTCGCGTGCCACGCCGTCGCGTGCTCCAACGCCATCCGCATCGTCACCGAGCACCGCCTCACGAGCGAGCAGCTCGACGAGCTCGCGCGCATCGCCGACCGACAGCGCACCCTCCCCTTCGAGTACGCCATCCGCACCGAGAAGACCATCATCATCGACGCCATCCAGCGCACCTACTCGGACAACGGCAAAGGCGACGGCCACTTCCTCCCCGGATACTTCGCGACCCTGACCAACGACCCGAACACCACACCGATCCCCCGCACTAACGCGCTCAACGTCGTCGGCCGATTCATGCCCTCGCGCGCCAGGACGGTCGAAACCATCGACAACATGTTCGACGCCGCCATCGAGTACACACGGAACCCCTCGCACAACACCGCCGCGCTCGACAGCGCCGCCGAAGAAGCGGAACTCCTCGCGGACGACCACCTCCTCCTGGGCATCCTCCTCCCCGCCATCAACCGCTCCGCGCAGAACGCGCCATTCGTGACGACGTACATCGCCGCACTCCGCACCGCCATCGCCCTCGAACACTACTTCCTTGATACCAACGCCTACCCCGAAACCCTCGACGCCCTCGTCCCTACGTACCTCGATCACCTGCCCGAAGACCCGACCGCCAGAGACAACCGGCTCATCTACACCCCATCCCAAGACCGCGCCACCTACACCCTCCACGCCGTCGGCCGCAACAAACAAGACAACAACGGGGAAGAAGACGACATCACCTTCACGCCCGAGTAACAACCGCCACAGTCATGGAGCGGATCCGCTGAACCACCCGCCGACACGGCCGCTCCCACGCCGTCCGCTGCGTCCCCCGCCGCGAATAGCTACCCCGAACGCCAGTGAGGGGACCGAAACATCCCAAACATCCCCAAGCCGATCCCACCCGCTCCCGTGCGATAGCAACCGCGAGCGGAAGCGAGCCGGACCAAAGGTCGCCCGTCCCGCACACCAACCCCGACGGTCAGCCCCGGGGGGGCTCTGTCACGCCCGCGATTCAGCGATATTCCAAGGCTGGCAACGCCCATTTCACAACAACCCTCTTCCAACGAACCCTGCTGATTCCCTACAATCCACCATCACCACCAACAGGCCCCCGGCCGGCCCCCGGAGACCCCAGAGATGACCACCACCCCCACCAAGCCCTCCCTCCCCGCGGACTCGAGCCAGCTCGACCCCCACGCGGTCACCATCTCCGGCATCGTCCTGAGCCCGGTCTACGACCACACCGACCCGCCCGAGTCCCTCAAGGACATCGAGACGCATATCCCCACACCGGGCACCTACCCCTACACCCGCGGCCTCTTCCCCCAGGGCTACCGCACACGACTCTGGACCATGCGCCAGTTCGCCGGCTTCGGCAGCGCCTTCGACACCAACGCCCGCTTCAAGTACCTCCTCCAGCAGGCCAAGACGAACTCCAAGGCCAACACCGGCCTCTCCACCGCCTTCGACCTGCCCACCCTCATGGGCCGCGACTCGGACGACCCGCTCTCCGCCGGCGAGGTCGGCAAGTGCGGCGTCGCCATCGACACCATCGAGGACATGCACAACCTCTACGCCGACATCCCCATCGACCAGGTCACGGTGTCGCAGACCATCAACGGCCCCGCCTGCGTCATCTGGGCCATGTACCTCGCCATGGCCAAGCAACGCGGCATCGGCTGGGACACGCTCGGCGGAACGTTGCAGAACGACATCCTCAAGGAGTTCCACTCCCAGAACGAGTTCATCTTCCCCCCCGAGCCCTCGGTCAAACTCGTCGTCGACACCATCGAGTTCCAGGCCCAGCACCTCCCGCGCTGGAACTCCGTCTCCATCTCCGGCTACCACATCCGCGAAGCCGGCAGCAGCGCCGTCCAGGAACTCGCGTTCACCCTCCGCGACGGCATGGAGTACGTCGAAGCCTGCCTCGAACGCGGCATGGACATCGAAGCCTTCGCCCCGCGCCTCAGCTTCTTCTTCAACGCCCACAACGAGTTCTTCGAGGAGATCTGCAAACTCCGCGCCGCCCGCCGCATCTGGGCCCGCATGATGAAGGAGCGCTACGGCGCGAAGAACGAGCGCTCGTGGTTCATGAAGACCCACGTCCAGACAGCAGGCTGCTCCCTCACCGAGCAGCAACCCGAGAACAACATCGTCCGCGTCGCCTACCAGGCCATGGCCGCCGTCCTCGGCGGATGCCAGAGCCTGCACACCGACTCCATGGACGAAACGCTGGGACTCCCCACCGAGAAGGCCGTGAAAATCGCCCTGCGCACCCAGCAGATCCTCGCCCACGAAACCGGCGTCACCCGCGTGACCGACCCGCTGGGCGGATCGTGGTTCATCGAAGAGATGACCGACACGATGGAAAAGGGCGCCCTCGAGCTCATCGAAGAGATCGACAAGATGGGCGGCGGCGCGTATCCCAAGGGCAGCGCCGGCGTCGTCCAGGGCATCCACAAGGGCTACTTCCGTCGCGCCATCGCCGAGGCCAGCTACCGCTTCTCCGAAGAAATGGAAGCGGGGGACCGCATCATCGTCGGCGTCAACGAGTACGTCGAACACGACGAGCAGCGCCAGGTCGAGATCCTCGAGATCCCGCACCAGGTCGA